GGGAGCCATGCTGCCCGCACACTGCTGCCCGCTCACTGGAAGGGCTGGGGGCGATTTCTTGGAGGAGCAGGTTCAGATGGAGTTACAGGGATGATGATCCAAGTCGTTACATATAACCTTTGTCAGCAAGGGCCCTTTCTCATTTGCACAGGGAAAGAAAGAAAAGGAGGAAAGAGAAAGAGTAAACAGGCTGAGCAGCCAAATAACTAGCCTTTTGCTGCCCTTACAGAAAGAAAAGGAAAAAAATCCCCTTTTATTGAAACCATTTCCTTTGGTTATATCATTTCTCTTGAGGCTGGAAGCAATTTTCAGTCTTAAGTGCATTCCCTGCACTAAGTGCACGGGCACAAGGCTGACGCTTGGCTGCCCACCAAGGGGTACCCCAGGGAGCAGCACGTCTCGCTGTGCCCTTTTAGTCTCACCACATCAGCTCGTAGCCCCGACGCCTCCTGCCAGGGGAGAACACCCAAGTCCAGTGTGGGCAAGGTGCAGCATAGGTCACTCTGGCCCAGCTGGGTCCCACAAGTAGGACACAGATGGCATCCATTATGTGTTCCCATCCGTGTCCTCTGTCAACAGTGACAACCAGAACAAGTAGAGCTCTGCCCAGAAATCCCCCAATGAAAGGACACACCAGTGCCAGGGCTTTGTTGCAATCCCATGGGAGAGGAGCAGCTGTGTGTTGGGCACTGGGAATTGATGCTGGAGGAGGGTGACTGTGGTTCCTTGTAGTCTGTATCAGCCATGGGCTCCAGTCTGGGGCTTTTGGGGGATTGGAGGAAGCAGGGGCAAATCTGTGCTATTAAAAGAAAGTGTTTCATGTGTCTGGGACCCTGCAGAGGGCTGAGGTGTCCTCAGCAGCTTGGCCTTAGGATCAGCCTTGCTTTAGGACCAGCCTTACCTGATTCACACCAGCCACAGAAGCATTGAGGTCCAGACATGACCTCTCCAAGGCAGTGGGGACATGCAGCAAGGAGAAAAGACGATGTTGAGGTAGGAGCAGTTATGTACCAGGACTGTTCAAGCTAGTGCCAACCTGGAGCTGATAAAGGTTTACAAAACAAAACGCTAAGCTCAAGCTATTAAAATCTATATGTACGTATCTCCTAATGCAGCCCCCTCAAACCGGGACTGGCAATCGTTGCTTGCTCTGCTTTCCCCACAAGCCCTCCCAGCTGCTGCTGCTGCAATTATCACACGTGGGTGCTGGGGGCCGACGGTGGTGCAGCCAAGCAGAGCTAAAAGCACACAGGCTGCAGCCAGAGATAAAGCAGCGAGGCCCAGGATGGGGAGTGTGTGCGCCTCGGATGCTGAAATCTCCCCCACCGTGCAGCTGATGTGCACGTCCTTCTCCAGCTCAGCCAGCATGGGGCAATTTATCCTTCATAACAAAAAAAAGAAGAGGAGGTTTGGGGAGGGGGGAGGTGACAGCTTAATTTTTTTCAGGGAGTGCTTTTCCCCATGCCTGGTAGTTCACAGCTAAGGAGCTTTTGCTGTTTGGGACCTTCGGCCATGTGTTGATCCCGTGCAGGGGCCTCAGCTTTGCAGCAGCTCTGGGAGATTGGAGCAGCACCGGGAACAAAGACACATCCAAGGCCAGTAGGCACCCAACACAGCTCAAATGTAAGTGTTTAAGAGCTGGCAGGTCCTTGGAACAAGGCATCTGTCTGTCAGCAGGCTGGGGGTCTTGACCTCCGCCTTTCCCTCCTCCAACACATACAAAGGCAGATTATTATTAAAGTTGAGGCCTAGTGGCATTTTTCAAAGATCTGATCCATGTCCTCAACTCCTGACCTTTGGGCATCTTATTATCTGGAGGACCCTACTGCTTCTTTGACTTCAGTAGGAATTGGCTGCTTTCGGCCCCACAAGCCTCCCTGACGTGTTCCTGGTAGCACAAGACAGCCACCCTGGCACGAGGACCTAAGGGGTCATTCGCCAAACCCTCGTGCCAAACCCTCACAACACGGTCCCTATGCACACACGCAGCCCAGACTTGTCGCAGAGCGACTGTTAATGAGTGGATGGTGATTGTGGGAGGGGGAATGGGCTTAATTCTAACCTGAAACACGTGGGCTGCAAAAGGCTGCTCTTGGTTAGGAAACACTGATTTTCCTGAAGCCCTATTAAAATTGTGTTGTCCCACCTTGAATGGATGAGGAAGCAGCAAGCCAGAAGTTCTATCTGACAAGTTTGAACTAGAAACTGGCAGAGCTGTGGCAAGAAAAAACAACCCTCAAATCCACAGCATAACTTTTTTTTTTTAACCACTTTATTTGCGTGTGTGTTTCTATAAACGTTTTATCTACTGGACATTTCATAAACCGTAAAAACAAATCTTCCTACCCCCAAAGTGCAATCAATCCAGCTTGTCAGTCAGACAACAATGACGCTGCCAGGGCAGGTAGGTGGTATCCCTAGATAACCTCCCGCGGGGCGCGAGCCAGTGAGGAGCTCACATCAGACCTCGAGCATCTGAGCGATGGAGAGGAGACGAGACCTGGTTACTCTACTCCTCCAGGGATGCGATAGGAGAGGAAAGGGGGGGGAATAAAGAATTTCCTTTGATGGAAAGTCAGAGTTTGATGGACACATCCACTTGCAGGATCGGATGCAGTGACCTCGGCAGGCTTTGGCGCAGCCTCACAGGCTGTGTCGGTGCCAGGGAAACCCATCAAAACGCTCATTCATTGCAAATGGCCCAAATGCTCCTCACCACCTTGTTTGCTGGGCGCAGGGGTGAGCAGCAGGTGCTGCTTAAAACCATCTGGCTCACTTGCGAGGGCGCAAGTCTGTGGATTCCTCGGGGCAGGTGAGCCCAGCTGTAAGGCACGACGGGGAGGAGAGGCAGGGTGTTGGGGGCAGCGGGGGATGCCCAATCCAGCCGGGTGACCCGGTGCTCATCGCCAAATATTCCATTGTCCCAGAGGAAATCACCGTTTCGCACGAGTGATGTGGAGCAGCACACGGTCTCTCAGTTCCCCAGGTTCATGTCTGCACCGTGGACAAGCCAAACCAGGTGGAAACAGACAGCCAGGAATCCGGTGCCCAGGAGGTCCCCCAGGGCAGTGAGGTAGGGGATGGAGAAATTGTCCGGATCCAGCGCCTTCCTCCACATCAGGCGCACGATTAGGTCGGCTACGTAGAGCAGGATTCCCACCTGAGGAGAGGCAAGACAGGCCCTGCTGTGAGGCAGCAAGAAGGTAATGCAACAGCCTCCCTCAGCCCACAGCCAAAACAATGTGGCCACAGCCAAGGTCTCAGAGCTAACAGGGATTGCCGAGAGTTAACACCTTCCCCAGAGAAATGCTGTTTCTTTGCAGGATGGAGTCGCTGCTGGGATGGGTGTAGCTGGCTCATGCTCTTGGGCACTGCATTGCCTGGCATTGCCCATAGTGCCACAGCCAGTGCTGCCAGCCACAAGTGTGAGAACCACACTTGAACTGCTCACCAGCATCACGTGGCCCAAAATGGGAGTCTGGCCACACCAAAAGCATCTCCCAAAAGTACGGTTCCCGCTTCCCATGCCATTAATGGGAGTGCTCCCATCCACTGCACCACAAACAGGGCTGCTGCCAATATGCAGGCAGTCCCAAAGGCTGAGTTTGTAGCCAGATTTTTCCTCTCCATCCTTCTCTTTTCCATTAGAAATTCAGATTGCGTCTACTTTGTTTTTCCTAAAAGTCTCAGTGGACAACTGGAGTTCGAGGCAGTTTTTACATCAAAGTTATCCCAAGCAGCACTGACATGTTAAAAAAAGAAAATAATTCCTTTTTTTTTCATCTCAACAGTTTTAAAATCTTTGTTGTGATTTCTTTTAATTCCTATTTCATTCCTGATTCTGATAAACAGATGGAGGAAAAAAAATACTTCAGTTAAAGATTAAAGACTCTCTAGTTAATTGAATTAAGAAGGAGAGAGAGCTTGTACCCCACATCTGTGGCCCCTCCATGGGAGACCGCAGCACAACAGGAACCAAAGCCAGAGGCGGCATTTCTAGAGGTGAAAACTGCAAGCTGTGGGGGGGAGAGGGAGGAGGAGAGATGGGGAAGCAAATTAAATGACAGAATCACAGAAACTAAAGCTGGATGGAAACTCAAGAGTTTTACATAGACCATTCCTCTGCCTCAATACAAGACAAAATAAGCCCACATCTTTCCTGATGTTTGTTTAACCTATGCTAAACAACCTTCAAAGATGGAGATGCCACACTCTAAGCAATCAGGCCCATGGCTTTTTTTTTCCTGTTCTTATTTTTCCCAAGGTCGAACATAAATCTGCCCTTTTCCATTTGAAACCCATGATTTCATGTTTGATCCCTAGTGACCACAGAGAAAATGTTATTCTGTCCCTCCCTACAGAAACTTGGTATTTTAAAGGCCATTAACCAGATTTTTCTCAAACCTCTCTTCTTTGGACTAGCTAACCCCAGTCCATTCAATCATTCCTCTGAGGTCATGTTTTCTAGGCCTCTGATCTTTCCTTCGGGCTTCCTCCATCTGACCCAAACTTCCCCCTCTCTTTCTCTCTGTCTTTCTTTCTAAAGCATAATGGAGGGGAAGGAAAAGCCAGGCTGAGTGTATTCTCCTCTGCTGGCCTCCATGAGGATCTTTTGGGGTCAGTGGCGTTGCTGGGATTCTGCTTTTTACGCTGTCAATTATTCTGCGTATTTTCATGCTTGGCTTTGGTTGAGGAGTTACCTCGATGCATAAAGAGAAGAATAAATATTTTCCTTTACAACTATGGCTGTGCTGCTGGGCTTAGGGTTGTGCAAAGGTTGAGAAAAACTGATTGTTTACACATGCAAGGAATTCACCCGCAGACACGAGACTGCTTGTAAGGCAAAGTGAGAAGTCAGCTACCTCACCCTGCAAATTAGATTTAAAAGGGCAAGTGAAGTCAGAGCAACAGCCCCATTCGTTTCTGCGTGAGATGACAAAGTTTACGGGGCAGGCGAAACAGCGAAAGGGAACAAGCAGAACAAATTGGATGAACTGCCCGTTGCCTACCCAGAGCTTTTACTTTTGAAGATGAACTTCTAAGCCTGGGTTTTTCCTTTGATTTTGACCCATATGGCCCTGCCCAGAGGGTTCCCTAGGTCTTCAGCATGATACACAAACCTGGGTTCCCAAATGAGTGGGGAAAGCTGCTGGTTGGGGTTCACAGACTCTCAACTGCCCCTTGCTGAGATGACCAGTGGCAGTCTAGAAATACCTGGGGCTTAGAGACTCAAGGAGTGACCAGGGTGAAACAAGGTACCACCTACAGCAAGAGGTACCTCCTTGCTAAGTGCGTCTCTGCACACTTACTGCAGCTCCGCGGATGATGGTAACTTATTCCTCACCTCATGTCTGATCCCTCACTCTCCCTTAAGGGCAGTTTTGCTCATAGGAGAAACCAGACTCTGGCAATTTGGGTGAAGTATTACTGGACCCACAGAAGGTATATGATGCTTGGCAGGAAGCACACCTGAAATGACTGGAAATGCGGGCCACTGTTGGAAGTTTTACTGTGACTCCTGTTTAGCCTGGAGACTGCTTTGTTTTCATGGTACCCGAGAAGTTGCTTTTGGATGAGAGTTTGGAGTTTACCTGCAGCAAAGCAGCAGTCAAATAGAACATCACAAAGGTGAAGGACAGAGACGTGTGGCCTCCCTGCAGCAGATGGATGGTGTAGAGGAACACAAGGTGCCCTGGGATAACCAGGAGGAACAGCACTCGGGCTGACTTGGAATTCACCTCTGCAGAGGACAGAGACAGAAACAGTGATGACAGCAGCTGCAGACGGTGCAGGAAGGACAGGACACAGCTGAATATTTTCAGGCACAGGCTTGGGGCTGTCCCCACCCACCAACCACATTGCTAACGCCTTTTCCAGATCATACAGCAATCTGGAGCATCTGCAGTATCAGCCCAGCAGCTTTGTCTAGCACTGAAACTATATGCCAAAGGCGTGCTCCATGCTGATCCACTCCACTTCTTCCAAACACTCCTCTCAGCTGCTCTCTTCCTCCCACTGCTTCTGCTCTGCTCTGCCTTGCTGCAACCCACTTTCCCAGTTTTTAGTTTGTTTTAGCAGTAACTCCCAACTCACTAGGGAAAATCAAGAGGAACCTGCAATCTAAAAAGACAACAGACCCAAATCCAGTTTTGCTGATGCTTAGGTTTATCCACTGCTGAAGATGAAGGAATTGCTGATTTTCAGCAAGGTTATGCTCTATTCACCCCTGTCCACAGGTGATGGCTCTAGGCTGGCTATGGTTAAAATTACTTTCTATTAGATCAAATTTTTCTTCAATTACTTTCTTTAGTGCTCCCTGAAGGCCAGTTTCTTTGCAAGCCAGTGAGCAAGTATGCCACAAGCTGTTTTTCAAGCTGCCCACTGCAAAGATGCTTCCTCTCCGACCTGAAGTATCTTCCTTGTAAGGGAGAAAGGGAGTTCTGCCTTTGAAACCCACCTAGTCCTTCGCCAACCAGGCTTGACAAAGGAGCTATTCTGTGATGACAGGCCTTGAGACATGGACACCTAGGGTTCAAGGTCTACCTGATGAGAAGAATGTGGTGCATGGGTTGGGCCAATTCTGCCTCATCTTGTATGGCAAAACTCCAGGCATGCTCCAGAAGTGCAGGAATGTGGAAATACGGCTGGCCTGGATGGCGACCAGGTTCCCTCCAACACCTATGAGGACAAAACACAGTAAGCCTGTAAAACCACCTTGACTGCTGCAGGAAACATCAGTCTAAAACCCAGCCCAAGGTGAGTTGATCTGCATTCACTCACAAGCTCACTGAGAGCAGCAATGAGAGAAAGAGAAAACCTGATCCCACGTGTCACGGTGATGCTGCACTGTTCACTCGGAAGGAACATCTCTCAAAAATCAGGAGGGCTCCAGTGATCATTTTCTTACTGCTTTATTGGAAGCATTTCCCCTTGCTTCCCAGCACCGGCTGTAAATGCCACTGGCCTCTGAAGATGATGTAATTGTACCTGGTTTGACGCAGTTTGCGAGCAACACCTGGGGAAAGCAGCACAGGCAATGGCAGATGCTGCTTATGGCCACTTCTTGGATTTACTCACCCAGAGAGTCATTATTGTTTAAAAGACAACAAACATCACAGAGAGTGGTTATATGTCTGTCTGAAGGCATCTAACACACTTTTTAAAAGAGAAGGAATCTAACACACTTGTTAAATGAGGAGGAATCATATAAGAATGAATCAGAGCCTAAATATGCTAGGTAATTAAAAGGCAATTAATTCCTTCCAGACTGATTAATTCTAGCTAACACGAAAAAGCAGTTACATTTTCTAGCAGAAAATAGAAGAATGATGATCTATGGAGCAAACCTCCACCACCCTGAGTATCTGCAGGGTAGAAATGCCACAGAAAAGATAACAGTAAGCCAGATCCTACAGGCTTCTCATGTTTTCCCTTCCTTGAAGGAGGAAATGCTCCATCATTAAATGTGAGATTTGCCAGAGCAGAATCAAAGTGAAATTACTAAGAGTCGCTCAACACAGCTCAAGACGGGAGCTTTCTGAATCGCGCACTGCCACGCTTCGCAGGCCTCCTCCGCACATGCGAAGCCAAGAGTTACCTGTGCAAAGACACGGAGCACTGCGTAACTCTGCCACCAGCTCTGCCAAACAGGTCGCCCGCCCCCACAGAGAGACGTCTGGGTCAATCATTGTTCAACTAAATTGCTGTTGACGTATTTTCCTAATCAGGCTCTTTGGCTAACCATGCTGGAAAGAGTTTGTCAGCAAGGTGGCTGTCTTTATGCAGATCCAGTCAGGTGGTAGCTGGGTGACACCTTCTGACACTGCAAGAGGACACCACGCTTTGAGGGTGGCAGGAGGCCAAGTGTGCCCTAGGAACGTGGGTTTCCCCTGGAATGGGCCTGGCCTGCAAGAACATTACAATAGCAGACAAATAACCCAGTGGGTCCTCAGCGCTGCCAGGATGCCCAGCAGTTTGTGCTGGCGTGTGTGTATAAAAGTACTGCAAGGCTTCAAACAAATACAAATATACACACAAAAGATGTTGAGATATATATATTAAAATCTCTCTATATAATATAAGATCTTTTCTTAATGTATACACATATATAATCTTAACATATTAATCTTTATCAACAGTCTGTATAGAGGATGATTACACAGCTCAAATTGCTGAGTGGAGAGAGACAGGGAAAATGGATTTATTGTGACATCCTTAGCAGGTTTGATGTTACGAAATAAAAGTGTCACCGTAGCTATCAGAGACAACTATCAGATGCTGTTAACCTTTCCCACAGCTCTGCCAGTATTTTTCAGCTCTGCCTGCTCTTTTGCTCCAGAGACGCTTAAAGATATATGTAAGCAGGGATGTAATGGGGACCATTAGCTTCACTTCCACTCATGATGGGCGCAGAGACTTGAACACAGACCTCTGCGCAGGGGCAACAGTGGATACCATAACCCTTGGGGAGGAGGGGGAGGTATAAATAAAAGCATGCCTATCACTCCCCCTGCCCAACTTACCATTAATCACAGGTGTGAAAACTGCCATGCCTTCAAAATTTGGGTCAGTTACAGTTTTGTCCAAGATGAGCCCACCAATGCTGTTGAAAAAGGACAGGCAATGAGGGTGGATCAATCTCTCTTCTGAGGGCAATTCCTACGCTGCGAAAATAGCACACTGAGATGAGTTGCTGCTTCTGCTCCATTGCCAGGGCTGGACTATTCCCCGTTTACTCCTTTTACAGCTCAGTTTTCACCAATAGACAGACTTACAGTTTTTGTTAATAGCGTAATGAGATCAGGAAGACCTCCTCGCCCACCCTTGAGCAAAACTGATAGTAGCCAGGGAAGCTTTATCATTCCCCCAAAAAGTTTTGCTACACTTCTGCATTGGTCTTAGCACTTTTTTTAAATTCTGCCCCAGATCTCAGCTGGGTTTGAAAGACGTAGTACAGGTGGAATGAACTACCTGTCTCTACATTCACTAGTCTTCTGTCTTTAGAGCTAGGTAAAAATGAGCTTGAAGTCTGAGTATTTGTGATGGTCATCATCTCCCTTTTTGGTTTCCTGGCTTGCACCTACATGGTGCATGGATGTGCAAGTGCGACTTAAAATGGTAACTTGCTTTTTCCAGTCATTTGGGGGCTCCTTATCTTCTATCTCACAACCCGCTGGAGGGCCATGGAGGGCTCAGAAGCACTGGAACAACACCCTTCTGCTGTCCTTTCCAGTTTCACTTTTCTTTCTAAATGAGCATGGGGTCTCTCTGCAGCGTGCATATGCATATGGGCTCATGTTCCTCAGTTTACCTGCTGATGCTCATTGCAACAATGACCGGCTGCCATCCAGATTTCAGGACTTCAGCAAGGGAAGGACTCTGCTTGGCAATAGCAACCCAGAGAGGGATCATGACAATGAAGACAGCGCAGATCAGTGGAGAAAGGTATTTCATATCTGGAGAGGAAAAGAAATCTTGAATTAAATGCCCTTGGCTTCATAGGTTGCCAAAATCATATTGCATAAAGTCTGGAAGAAAGGCAGCAGGGCTTTCTCTCACACTGAGTTACAATAGCAGAAAAATCACATGAACCAAGATATTCTCCACACAACCACCTCACTCCACCACAGAAATCCATAATTAACCCCTGGAACTCACTGCTAGAGGATGTTATTTGAAAATCAGCAGGATTCAAAGCAAGTTATATTTGAAGATGAGCAAGTCTCCAATTCCATCTCCAACTAGGCAAGACAAAAAGTTACAGAATTTCAGGGTACAAATCGAACAGCAGGGCAAGGGGGGGAACTCCTGTGTGCAAGCACACTTAGGACAGACACCTCACGCCTTCACCTAAACAAGAAGTAATAGGTACTTTGGGTGACAAGCTAGCAGAATTGCTGAGCAGCTGGTCTGCTCTATAGGAACAAATGCTCTCTTGCACGTATAAGCCAGTTAAGATCCAGGGTTTCTTTCGTGCAAGCTTACATGTGTTTCCATTAGGTACTTTTTCCATTCCGTAGGGGCATAACCTTGAAGCGACCTTTAGAAGCAAAGAAATTAAAAAATAAGTAGATGTGCAGCACTAAAGGAAAATAAACATGACTCAGAAGCATAAGAAACACCTTCAAGCAATGGGGATGATGCCAATCCTTTTGATATAAAAATGCTTCTTCAACAAAGCTCTCCATCTGGTCTCTGTGTTGGGGCCAAAGCCAGCAGGCTGTAACGCAGATTTTGCAGGTAATCTGGGAGACGAGGCAGGCTCAAAGTGTGCATTTTTCGAAACAGCGCTGCCAGGCCCTCAGGCTACCTGGACGAGAGAGCACTGATGTGATGATATCTTCCATGAATCAAGGGCTCTTACACAAATAGGTGCACTCTTTATGTGTGGCTTTAGTCAGCACCGAAATACAACCACTTCTAGGGTGTAAATAGCTGCTGTTTTGTCAGTGCACTCTACTACTTGGACTCATTTAGGATAGATGGGTTGTATGACAGACTTAGCTGCTGTACCAGATCTCCTATCTCCACTCCTTGTTGCTTCGGGCAATTAATCCCTTCTTAAATAATGCAGACACAGAGCACTGGAGTCTATCAAACATTATCAAAGCCCACAGAAAGACTTCTGGTACGATGAATGGACTTCAGTCTCCAAATTCCAGTTCTGCCACATTCTTTCACATACAGTCCACAAGCAAGTCGCAACTTTTTGGCACAGCTGGCATCTCTGCTATGCAGGACTGGGAAGTTCCAGAGTTGATTTTTAAAAAATTGAAAATCTTCATTGGCGAAAGGGTATTCCGCAGAAGGAGATGGTGCTGCGTCAGATGGCACGTAGTACTTCAAACTTTACAGACTCACCAGTATTTTTGAGGGATACATTTTGGTAGAACCCAGAAGTTATCACAGCATGACCTGTCCCTTACTACACACTGAGGAGGGAAATGGATTTATTTAACCACCATCAGCAGTGCTTTCCTTCTCCCTGCTTCACTTCATGGTCCCAATGACTAAGTGTCTGTGCACTGAGTATTTTCCATCTCAAGAGGCTATTTAAGCTACTCTGAAAACATCACAAATGCTCTGTGGTCACAACCATAGAGGTTATCATGTTTTTGTGCCATGTGCTTCCTGGGAGATGTTATCAGAGGCACAGTGATTGAAAGACAAACTCGCTTTACAGAGGCAGGTGTGATGGCGTCATGGAAAAAGCCTATTAAAAAAATGCACCTCTGAAGCTCAAGGAGGACTGGACAGAAGCGATTTGTGGGCCTCTGCCTGCAATGTGTGCTCCTTCCCTCCCTCACTCGCTGGCATATGGAATGAGTTACGCAAACTGGGAACAGCTGCCTCGCTGCTTCTGCTCACGGTCTGAAGCAACAGTCCGGGTTTCAAATGGTACTGAGTTTGCTGGATGTTTTTATTTTCCTGTCTCTATTCTAGGTTAGGCTCACAGTAAACAGCCTAGCACAGGCTCATGGTAAATAGCCTAGCACTTTACAAGCAACAGTCAGGCATATATCACCAAGTTGCAACATGTTTTGAACTTTTCAGTGTCAACAGGTGCCCCAGTCTTTGCCAAGCAGCAGCACAGCTAACCCCATAGCCACAACTCATACTCAGAGTCCTGTGAGCAAAAAACAATGCAGCACTGCCTGCCTCTCTCCCTCCCAGATGATAATATCTTGCTCATCCACAACTCGCCACATGAGAAGATACGAGAAGATTTTACAAATGCCAAAACCTTTAAATAGCTTTGTGAGGAAGGACCTGTTATTACCCATGCACAGAAAGTAGTTATGCTTGGCTAGCAACAGACACAGGAACAGAGTCAGTGTCACATATGTCAACCTTCTGTTCCAACGCTATGCAATACACACGTTGGTCATTTCTTTGACAAATCCCAGTCGTGTTTCTTAGGCTCTGCCTTCTAATTTGCTACTAAAAGGGAGCCTGGAAAAAGCCTCTTTGGTCCTTTTTCAACCCCAGTGGCATGACAGCCTCTGTTCTGAGACATCCCAGAAATGGGTAAGCACCCTGCAATAATTTCACAAGGATTCATCCCTCCCTTGCTGAGCTGTAAATCTCTGCTGAACACTGTACCTATGTATTTGAAGAGCGTACTGCTGATTCCTGCCAGCAGGGAAAGGGTTATCAAGTCTCCAAGGCTTGCTGCTATGGGTGTGGCAACATTGTCTGGATTGATCCCAACTTTCCTTGCTCCGATGATCACGCCAATCATCACCAGACCTAGAAAAGACACAGAGCAGGCATCATAATGCATCCTGCTGTGTTTCACCCCAGAGTTGCTGTTCCAGTTCCCAGAGGGACACGAGGTCTGGGAAAAGCAAGAAGCAGATTATCCGTAGTGGTACCACGCAGCTGGAGATTGGACATCCCCAGGAATTTGTCCTCTTGCTTTCACTAACCTGAAGGGCATGACTCTGCCCTTATGAACTGCACCAAAGGCCCAGAGGCACACAAGCTAACTCAAGGGATCAAAGGAGATACCAGCAGGCAGCCCAAACGTAGCAGCTCCCCTCTTGAGCAGCTAATCTTTGCTGCCTTGAAGCAGGACCAGGCACAAAGCATGCTCATAGATAAGCACACAGCAGGCATGCCACAGCCTCCTGGTGCCATCCTCTGCTCTGGATTCCACAGCACAAAGATATTTTCCATATTAGACCAAAATTTCTCTAAGTTTGAACCACCAAGGAGCAACGAGCTTCCTTACAGTAGTCTGAATTAGCCTTTCGTCCCAGCTATCAGACTGACCCCTCATGTCCCAGAGTCTTTGGAGCTGCTTTCCTTTGCACTGGGTGGATGTTGATGCTGTGAGAAGATCCAGAGTGAAGGGGTTATGAAGGTGGCCCACATTGCCTCTCGTCCTCTGAGCTGCACCTGGAAAATTCAGCTGCTTTTCAGCATTGTTGAGGAGGAGGGAAGTTTTGCTTCCAAGGTAAGTTAATGAGCACAAATTCCAGATCTTGATGAACAAGCGGGAATCCCTCAGCCATCAGATCTCTCACAGGCCTGTGGAAGAGCCACCGAGAATAAACCCTGCCTGGCCACCCTCCACTGCTGTGTGACTGGCAAGGGCAGCCTTAAGCCAAGAAACATGACATCTCTTCAACGTCCTTCCGTGGCTGACAGGATGCACCAAAGGAAGTCAGAGGAACAGTGCTTCCCTCCAGCTCACCACCTCTCTGTGCCTGTTGGCACAGGCCCACCAAAGCTGAGCGTGCACAGAAGCATTAGCTCTCCGCTAAGAAATGCCACGTGTGCACCTTCCCTGATACAGAAACACATGTTCACACAACATGGCATTCTCCACAAAAGCTCTCTTGGACACCCACACTCCCCTCCCCACAGCACAGTTCACGCTGCTTCCCCCTCCCTGGTCATAAAAATAGCAGCTTCCCATCGTGCTCACCCACAGACAGGTCGCCTGTGACCATGTCCAGGGAAGAAACTATTGGTGGCTGAAAGCCTCTGATGGTACGGCAGCAAAGCCTCTCTGTATCACACCGAGCGGAGAGACTGAAGGGAAGAGTTTAATGAAAGCTGGGCTGCTGGTTTTCTCTTGTAACAACTGCCTCATCCCATGTTTTTCATCAAAGGCATCTACAATAACCCTTTGACTCCAGCTTCAGGATATGCACTTGCTCTGACTTGTCCCTTTCATTTATAAAACTTGCTGTATCCAACTCTGCCAGCTCTCTCTATTCCGGGTGTCATGCTGCCCTCGTATGGCAGATCTACAAACTGATCATCTCCAGGCGACCCAGAGCAGCTCCTACCCGTCGCCCACCCCATCACGACTCCCTTGCGAGGGGAACAGGCAGGGGAGCTGACTGTCTGGATCAGAGCTCTCAGCAGGCAAGCCACAGGGCTGGCCACAATCCTCTGCAGGGTACTGGGTAACCCGAGCCCGTCTTGAGCGTGGTCTGGAGTTGTCTGCTAACAGGCTCTCAATACCCTGCTTTGTACACGGCATTAGCTCACTCTCTCCAAGGAAAGGGCCAGTGTAAATGGCTACTGCATCACCCAAAACATAAGGAGAAAGTGTGAGCACGTGTGTGTACACCCATGTATAGCATGTGGCATTTTTTGTGTTGTCAGGTGAAGTGGGGCATTTTGATTGCTGCTGTGGATGCCACTAGCCCAGTGAAGAACAGATCCTCATAGATGAGAAGCAAGGGCAGGATGCAGAGGGGGTGAAAGCAGCAGGTATAGGACTAATACTCCCAGCATCCCTCCTCCCTGTGCCAGACCAAAGGGATGTCAGCTGGGCCTCCCTGGCGGAGGGACAGAATTTTCCGCAGCCGAGTGTTGCGTGTTTCATCTGAGGAACCAAAACGACTCACCAAGAGAAAGTGCAGCTATGAAGGCTGTGGTCACGCTGCTGGCACACAGCACGGCAGCCTGACTCAGCTCCACAGAGCCCTTGGAGATAGCTCCCAGGATCACAGCAGCAACAGCAGCCAGAAGTCCCACCACGGTGGCCTGGACCTGAGGGTTGAAACACAGACGGTGAGAAATCATCTGCATCTGCTCCCAGGCAGTGCTGGCTCCATGCGACTGTGGCACTGCCACACAGCTAGAAGGGCAAAGCCTTGCAAAGACGCTGATTGCTTACGTATTTAAGCATCATCCCTGTAAGGCTCCACTATATTAAAAAAAATCCTGACGAAGTTTGGAGAAAAACTCTGGAGGCCTGCAGAGGGCAGATAACATTTCAGCAAAGGACACAGAGTTCACCAGCAAAGGAAGTGCCCTGGTCAACACAGAAATGGGCTCCCCATCAACGCAGCACTCCTAGCAAGCTGAAAGCTGTGGAAGGTGATAAGGGAGAGCACTCAGACACATGTTGCAAGCCCTGTGGCCTTGCCATGTGCAACCTCTAGGCTGATTGCTGGATTTCAACAAGTGGAAAGAGCTACAAGAGGCACATTTCCCCCATCTCTCCCCTCCTGCCCAGGGCTGATTCTCAAACACTGCCAGTAAAGGACAGGCTTTATCTAGGGGCTGTTGTGAAACAGGGATTGTGCTGCAGGTCCCCCTGCAAAAGGAGGGCTTTTCATTATTTCAGCTTGTCCATGAATGTCTAGATGTGTTTTGCAGCTAAGCTGCAAGCTCTGGGGCCACACAGAGCTTTGTTGGAGGTTAAGTCCCGGGCTCTGCTTGTCTCTGTTGAGAATACCTGCCCCAAATCAACAGCTCTGGATCCAGGACTGCTGGGAACAGACGCTGTCAGGCTGTGCATTGCAAAAGAGCCTTTCTCCTCCCCCAGCTGAAGTGACTCACCTGGATAAGGGCTAAATTGCAGGTGGCCATTTTCCATTGCTTCTGGGCATCATCCATCTGTCCCGTGTTAGCCTGGGAGCCAAGAGAGACACTCTGAAAACCTGTTCCTGTGGCACAGGCAGCTGCTGAAGGCAGTTTAGGGGCTGCTAAAGCCAGAGAGAAGCAAGCACAGGTTGGCATCTCCCAGCCTTCCCTGCACTTCCTTCTTGATACATCTCCATCATGCTCTAGCCCAGTGTCCCAGAGGCTCACATGGAGGAGCAGAGCCATTGCAGGGCACCCAGCTAAAGGTGGAGTGGGCACATCCACCACATCGCACACAGAATGAAAGCTGAACAACTTAAACCGTTTTTCCTCTTTCGTTCCCCCTAAGTTTCTCTGTTAAGCTCCAGTTTCTCCCAAGATGTGAAACACAAACAGCCCAAAGTAAACAGAACAGCTTAGGGAGATGGGAGAGATCAAATCCAGCAGCAGAAGCTACTGCAGGTCCCAAGAAGCCTCGGTATGCTCCTCCCAAGGTAGGATTGCTGGGAAGCCCTGGGTCTCTCAAGGATCAATACCCACAGAAAAGCAATCCAATACGGAGCTGACAACTGTGGAGCCCTGGCTTTGTCTCCTTGATGTGTCACAGGGCCCCAGATATCAGCAACTGGCCACCCAGGGATTAATTCACCTTCAAAGCACAAATGGAAATTCTCTGTTCCAGTTACAAAACAAGGGCAAACACATTATTTTAATGCTCACACCCCACTAGTTTCTACTTAGCAGAAAAGGGCATGTCTCACACACATGGTATGGTTATAGCAAAGCAGAATCTCCTGATGTCTCCTCCACACACACCACTACCACCGCCTTGTTAACACTCACAGCAGTAGAAAGCCTGGATGCCAGTGTCATCTCAAGATTACCCTTCAGGCCAACCAAGGCAGGAACCAGGATAAAAACTTCTGTAATTGTACGAAACACATCCCAGTGCTGAAAAAAAAACAAAGACAATGACCTCAGTTTGCGATGGTGACCAGTCCTATGCTGTTGCTTCCTGTCTCACCACCTGCTCTACAGGTGTCTGCTATGCACAGGGGGGAAGATGCAGTCCTGGGCTGGTTGCATATTGGGAGCAAAGGAAAGAATTTTTATCTTGCAATACTCTTTCTGATCTCACGCACAGCAAAGCACTATCTTAACAGGGAAGGAACCTTTTTCCTGAGGGCAGCAGAAGATTTTTGGAAAGCGACAAATTAATATGTGCCTTTAGCATTAGCCAAGAACAACATGAAAAATAATCAGGGTTCACAAGCCAAATGAAATACAGCATGCTCTCCATCCTTTGTACTGACACTAGAGACAGGAACGCCTATCCCTATACAGACTCACAAGAACAAACACAAAGATCTGGAAACAATCTAACAACAAAAAGTTGTATCTGTCTTTTTTACCAAACTTCTAACTAAGTATCTAAGACTGGTGGTGGGAGGGAAGGAGATTTTTGTATCTCTTCTCCACAGGCAGCTCCTAAATCTGCCTGTTACCAAACATGCTCCCAGCACAGCTGGAAAAAGGATTTTGAATTAAGATATCCCATAAGCCCTAACTGCTGGGCCAATATCTTGATGATCATTGCTCCTCTGAAGCTGAACTGTACAAAGCTGTCGAACCAGTTGCAACACTAGCAATTATCTGAAACTGTAAGAAACCTTGTTGATTAACACGTCTTCTCTAATTTATCTACCATACAGTGCCTTGGAACATAACTCATTCACCCTCTGTGCATTCAAGGATGTTGGCAAAGTCCCACTGTGGCCGAAGAGGCTCACATCAGGATGAAATCACAGAGCGGAGCAGCTCACCGTGAAGTAAAACCAACTAGCTCAACATCTAAGAGGAGAATACAAGAAAAGAAGAGCAGCTGCAGTAAGTCAAACCAAAGGTCCATCTAACCTATCCTTATCACCACTAGCAGTCAAATTCAGATGTATAAAACAAGAATTTGCAAACATGACAAGTAGATGGGATAATTCTCCTGTGTATTTTCCAGCCTACAACTATCTGCCACAGGGTACTGAGCTGGGGGCAGGGGTGGTGTTTCTGCACACTTGCCAGTGTTCAAAGGATTTCTCTGTCAGGTACTCATCCAATCTCTCCCCTCCAAACCATGTGCCATCCTGTGGCAAAAATTTCCATAATTTAGCTACACATCATGTGAAGGATGAACTTGTTCATCAGTTCTAACTTGTCACTGGTTAGCATCATATGACGGTCCTGAGGAGGACAAAACGAACAACAGATCCCTGCCACTTTCTCCACATCCATTAGGATCCTATAAACCCGAAAATCCAGGAGGTTGGACAGACTTGGTAAATGTCAACACGTTCAGCTGTCAGCCTGTTGGGAAATACATACAGGGTGTAACAGCTCCGTGTTTTGTTCTGGCTGTCTCATGGGAAGCTGTGGGAAGCCAGTGGTGTGGCTCTCTGCTGGGAAGACCTCGCATCTTCCTTCTGGGTCAGGATGAATGAAAGCGGGGCTGAGCCAGCCCTGAGCACATGGTGCAAGACACCCCTGAGGTGCAGATAATAGGCAAAACACTATTACCAATATAAAAAGGCACATTTCCTGGCAGCGGTGACCTGGAAACAGGCACGTTTCAAAATGTTAAAGGTAAGTCACTGTTGAGTAAACAACAGACAATACGAGACTAGTCACCTTATTGGACACACTACAACTTTGTTTGACTTTATTAACATGGAACTTAAATACCTGAGAGAAGCTAGGGGCGGACATCTCTTTTAAAGATTGAAATCCCCCTCTCTCATCTCTAATTAAAAATAAAGATCCAAACACATCTTTGACACCTTCTAAAGAAAGAGGAGAAAAAACAGCTTCATAGTCACAATATAAAAAAATCCAGTCATTTAAAATATACGGGCGTGCAGACATTCATATTTAAGACATTGCATATTTTGCACATAAAAAGATATGTAAATAAAAGGCAACATAAAACCTCAACTGTTTGTATTTTCTCTGCAGGTCACCTTTGGGAAATATGACTTTGTTACATCAATGTAAGCTCCAATCTTAGTGTTCGTGATGAATTTTGCAGGTCTCAAGCCATCATAACAGAAGTTTCAGGATGAGAGGTACGATTTTTTGGGACTCTGCCTTACACATAATTACAATGAAAGGCTTTGAACAATTAATAAAGAATGACACAACTGTACTAATAAAAAAATCCTGACTTAATTGCCTCCATTTGAGTCTCATTAGTGACTCACCAAGAGCCTGAGAACAGATTCATAATGATTTATACCACAGTAGGCAGGACTCCATTGTGTTACAGACCACAGAAATACAGAATAAACAGATGATCCCTGTGCCATCGCCTTGCAGGACTGTCCCCTGGAGAAGCAGGTGAATGTGGCAGGTTAGAGCTGCACAGGCAAGGAGCTGCCTGAATAAAGACAGCTAGATAGAGTCTAGGAAGTGTGTCTGTCCTTCGAGATGAAAACTGGCCTAGAAGGAACAGAAACATCCCCTGCAGCATTGCAAACTCACACAGGGACACTGAGACAGAAAGAGGCTCTTGCATTTCACATCCTCATAATGGAGTTACAGCCCTAAAGCTCAGCTCTGAAGAAACTTGTTACCTCGTGATCCACTGCAGCTGGTCCTCATGCCAGTAAGATCTACTCATGGAGTCCCATAGAGGCTGAGATGTACTGAGACTCCCCAGTGCAGTCTAGCCCCACTGTCCCTCCTTACACTGTCCTCACAGTCCCAACCATGTCCTGTTGCCTCTTCAGGGCATCCATCCTCCTGTGGCAGCAGCTAAGAAATCTCAGAGTTTTTCCATTGCCATGAGCAAGTCAACAGAAAGATCAAAAGATCCTGGACTGTAAGTTGCAAGCCAATTCAAAATCCTTTTCAATGCTAAGCATCTCATGGGCTTTTATCAACAAAGGACAGCGATATCTTATGTCTGTGACTTTTATTTGGATTGTGTCCCACTATCATGGTGTGGAAGGGGAGAACAAAAGGGAAGCTTTCCTCCTGATTTCTCTGGTTTGAAATCCGACCATGGAGCTTCAATCTGATTCTTCCCCTTACTGTAAAAGAGTGGGCCAAACACCGGTGAGGTCTCCTGCCATGTCAGCCAGCCCGGAATCCAAATTGACCAGCTGGCCAAGGATCACTGGAGCAGAGGCAGAAACGTCCAGCAAGAAAAGACCCTTGCCATGCTAGCAGCACTGCATGGAGACTGCATCATCTGCACAACCAAAAAGATAAAATGGCAAATGGCTATTTCTTTGGGCATCATTTTATTACAGTATGAGACCCAGATTTGAGCCTTGGAATCAGCTGGGCTAGACAAATCTCTCCTGTTTATTTACTATTTTTTTTACAGTAACATGAACAGTTATTGGTTTCATTCCAGGAGAGATCAGAAACTGCTAAAATCCTGAAAAGTTTGATAGGACACAAACAAGCAATTTCCTCTTTGCTCTCCTCTTTACAACATCAGCCCTGTAAATGAGAGCACCAGCTGGACTCCCAGCACAGAACCACATTATTTCAAGATATGCTACAAAACAAGGGCAGCACCATTGAACTCACACATATGCTCTAGATACCATCCTTGAGCTTGCCCATGTATCTCCCTGTCAAAGGCAGACACGGAGTTTCCTAAGAATTTTTTGCAGTGACTGCAAATAGGGCAAAGTGTTCCTCAGTCAGACCATCCCCTGAAAAATGGGCAAATCATGGATTCTTGGACAAGAAAAACCTGTAGTTTCAGCAGCATGAGCCATCATGATTACTAATATGAGTCTTACGGTACCTGGCCTCAAGCAAACAAACTTAGTCTCAGGTTTTAGTTGGACAGGACAGTGAATTTCTAGCACTTGCACTTGCAGGAAGAAAAGCTGAAAATAAGCAGCTCAAAGACAAAAAGGCGCAGAAGAATAATCCAAACCTTTAAAGGCTAGGGTCTCTGGATTTTTCCAGCTACTGGTTTTGTTTTTAAATGTGTGGTTGTTGATCTCGTGGCAGCTCACCTCACCAACATCTCTCCCAAGCCAGTTATGACTCTCAATGCAGTAGCTCTCTCCTCTGGGAGCTGAAACCACTGACTGAGGGTTGGAAACACCTTCACCAAAAAATACATTTCCCATTATTGCACTTCACACATGGCCCCACTTCTAAGAGTCTAATGAACAAATACAGAAAGCAGACTGCACTCTGGTATTTAAAGGACACATGCAGACAACATAGGCATACGTGGTTTGTGTTTTCCATCAGTTTGGATGCAGTTACATGTTTGAACAGAGCCCAATTCTTAGCAAGTGCGTTTGATTTCTTTTAGACAAAGACCTATCCACCTGCCAAGGGTATGGAGCGGACACGTACTATGTCTTTATCCTTCTCTGAGATATCTGGCCAAAGATAACTGCTAACTATTAACATCACATCTTGGGGAGTCTGAGAACTTCTGCAATGCTGCAAGACAGGTCTGTGCCTTAGCACAGCACAAGGTGGAGATGACAAACACAGCATAGCAACAGTGTGTGCCACTCCAGTTAACCCTTCTTTGATATTCCTGATATTCCTTTTAATTCAACTCTTCTGCCTTCTTTGTTTCTTTCAGTGCAAGAAAAAAACAGCAAGGTATTGTCTTTCCAAACACTTGAGTATCCATATTTAGCTCCTGCTTGGAACTAATGCCAGAGAATCCAATGTACTCCAGTGAGCTCAGAGTGCAGGATATATCCTTTGGAAACTCTGCCAGCTTCTTGATTTGTAAATCCACTGGCATGAGATGCCCAAAGTAGATCAAATTTTGCATTTCTATTTGTGCCACTGGTACAAAAGAAAGACAGATGGGATAGATTCTGGTTGTGGCCACCATGGTGTAAAACCAGCGCCACTCCCTGGAAGTCAATGGATGTTATTCCAAATTTACACCTACCTCAGAGTCTGGCCAAGAAGCACTCAGTTTGTAGGCAATGCTAATCTTTTTATGCTGGCATGCCTCTCATCACAGTATCTAAATGCCTTCCAGACCAAAGATTACATTAGGTTGTTTGCAAAGAACTGAAAGCATAAACTTGCCTCTGAGTGAGACAGGTAGTTAATAACAACCCTGACCCAGATCTCCTTATCAGCAATTTTTGAAGGAAAGAAATAATACCATGCAATACAGGAATATGCCACAGTCTGATCGCAGTTGCTTCACGGCAGTCACCATCAAAGTGTTTAGCTAGATACAGCGAAGGGAGCACCCAGGCTAACGCACCGAGGGCAGTGTCAGGCAGCCTGTCTGAAAGTCACTGTCCCACTTTACAAGAAGCCCATGTGCTGACCTGAAGAAGATGGTTAGTGTCTCTCTAGCACAGGAAAAACCTACAGCCATCCTCCTGACTGGCTGCTCGAACTACACGCATTAAAACCAAAAATGCACAAATACTTAAGGTCAGTAAAGTAGCCCACCCCCTCACTACTAAGTTGCCTAACCACATGTACCTACTTGAACGACATCCATCAAGAGGCCAGCAGCTACCATGCCCAAGCCAGCCAGAAGGAACGGCACGAAAATCTGGGAGGCAATGGAGAACGAAGTCTCTGGGAGAAATCCACTGGCTGACCTGGTCAACTTGCAGGTGAAACCTCTCAGCTTCTTTCCATGGAAGCACAGTTCCAGTTGTAACTGTGTGACCACCATGGTCAAACACCATTACCCCATGCTCAGCAGGGCAAATGAGGGGAGATCAGGACATCACACAGATCCTCCTGGTAGCGCTCTCTGAAGTCAAAAGAAATGTTTTTCCTCAAACAACAGCAATGATGCCAAATTGCTTTAGCTGCTTCTTCTCCTAGGAGCACGTCCGGAGGGTTGCAGCAAGGGTATCCTCCAAAATTGATTCAGCTGGGTTGAGCCCAGGTGGCAGCAAACTTGACAGACGCTATTTCTCCAAGTTATATCCAGGGGGGAATTAAAAAAGAGAAAAGAAGATTGCAGAGATGTCCGTGGACGAATAGAAATGAGCCCACACCCCATTCAGCTCCCACCACCTCGGTAAAAACCAGTAAGACCTGCTCAGGCGACAGCACTGAAAGAGTGACAGGTCATGCAAGAATCCCTCAGCGTGCTCAAACGCACCAGTGTCCTTTCTGCTCAGGTTACACTTCTTGTCAGACTGCGGCTCGCCTTTGATACGACGGTTTAATATGTAAGCCTGCTGTGAACCAGCCCCAGTTCCTTCACTCTCACCACAAGCAACGTTGAACTTTTCTCACTGTCCCAAGGCCGAGATGGTGGAGAGTTAACAATCAGGATCCATTTTGCTCTCCTTCAAGGTGAAGAAAGGTCAAGGAAAACATGAGTCCATGCTTCTCATGGCTGACGATCCTAACACAGGTCTCATCCACAGGCAAGTGGCACAGCTAAGCCAGCTGGTGAGAGAAGATCTGCCCTTCTAGACGCCAGCCCCTCTTGCCCCCTCCATGGTCTCCGTGGGATGTAACGATCGGTCTATGCCAGCTATACCTCTGAATGACTGGCTTTCAGGGGAAAAAAAAATCCAGAGAACCAGCCAATAAGCTTCAAAAGCGAACACCCTTATCTGCTGTCATCACTTCAACTTTCTGCTAGTTTGCAAAGGCCAAGATAAGAGTCATAGCCAGAGCTTATTTAAGGTAGCTCCATAATCTCACTACGCCGCAGGCAAGAGAGAGAAAGGGTGAATGTTTCCACAGCATGCTGTGAGCTGGTCTCCCTTCCTGTCTGAAAGCAAAACACGGCTTCTGCATACTCTCAGGAAGATACTGCTTTGAGAGAGGGTCTCACCCCAGAGTCCCCATGGTCAAACAGCTGACACAAGCTGCCTCATGGCCACGTACGGCCAAAGAATTTGTATCCTGCTCAGTAAAGACTGCAGTGTATTCTTCAGCTCAAAGTCACGCAAGCAGGCAAGGGATGCAGGGTATTCTAAGGGTCCTTTCTAATAATTTGGGCAAACTGACTGGATCAGAGGGTCAAAGAGCTTTAAAAGCACACTTTAGGACACAAGAGTATAGGATTGGTTTAGCACAATCACAAATAAGCTTTTTCGCTATCCAATCACAGGTTCAAACCCAGCCATGCCCTAGGGAAGGCAAACAAGTAAAAGCAAGTATTCAGTGGCAGGCATGAAAGATTCAGGTTTCTTAGTCCAGTTCAAATTCAATGTTCAAATCACGTTGCATTACTAATACTTTTTGTACTAATCGACCCCTTCCCTGGCACAATCTGCAGAGAGAAGCAAAGATTAAAGGCTTATGGACTCTGTCCTTGTGACAGGGTCCCCAGTTTGGAGCTAAACACATTGGCGAGGTTGGACAGAACAAGATAAACAGGGAACTGAGGAAGTTCTCAGACATTTCGATGATGTGTTTCTTTTGGTCTGAATTCATGCAAAACAAAGCCTAATGGGCTGAGATGGCACAGCACATCCCTCTGCAAGCATGGCAGGGTGGAAAACAAGCCCCAGCTACAGATGGGAGACTTTGTCCTTTGCTGATTTCTAGGTTGATATTTTGGAACAGCCCCTGAAGTCTCTCTTCTCCCGGCTACCTTGGTGTGTATGTGTGTCTCTATCACCTAACAGTGGTCTGGTTACCTGGAAGCTAACAAGGGAGCACTTTTCAGCTATCTAACTGGAAAAAAAGGCCCGCAATAGCTGGAAGAGGGAGGTTAATAAAAATCCTGTAATAACGACACATGACCCAATCTCTCTATTATTAGCCAGGAGCTGAGAAGTGACAGCATGAAGGCCCACTTCTGGTTAGAAACTCAGAGAGGCTTCAAGGAAATAAAGGATAATTTCTGGACAGCTACCACAGGTTTTCAAAGGTCTGATAACGTGCATAGCCAGTTCCATACGTCAATGTATCTGCCAACTGTATTGCCAACAGGCAGAAACATCAATGTAAAGGAAATACTAATGAGCCTGAATGACTCAAACGCCTCTAAAAACCACAGCAGCTACACATCCTGTACTAAAACATCAGTCTGGCAGGCTTTATGAGTTTATCATGCTTCGTCTCTCTCTGTTTCTAAGCAAGCACCATAAAAAGTCTTCAACTGATGAATCAGTATGCAGAAAAGGTAACTGCTTCAGGTGACCTGCATGTGTACACTGGGTCATTTTATTATGTATTTAAGGCATCTCTGGTAAAGATCCACACCATATTTGTCAGCAAAGAGATGCATCATATTTTCCTGGCAAAGAGATATACCATATTTGTCAGCAAACAGATGCATCAGGTTTGAGAAAAAAAAAAGAGAGCGTTGCTGAACAGCAGGAAAAAGATTATAACCAGTCGGGAAAAAATCCAAACACCTCATGGCTGCACCACTCATCATGGCAAAACCTGGGGAGGTACACTGCTATCCTCCTCTGCACACAAACACACTCTATCCCTCTGCTTGAAAACTAGTCAACAGGTAGCATTGCCCTGGAGGAGTCAAAGCAGAAACAACCTCTGGTGGGTCCTGACTCTGATCTAGGGCCTCCATCCACGGCCACAGCACATAAAAATAACAGAAAGATGACAAGTGCTAAAGAACACAGTTCCAGACGCACCTTGTCATCCCGGCAAAGAAGGGACAGGGATACCAGTGAGTGCTCTTATACCATGGCAGCGTTAGCCAAAGACAACACTATTCTGACACTTTAGACTCATGGGAGGATGATGCTTTACAAGGACTATACATCCCAGTTGTTGGACTACGATGACTCCTGACTCTGCTAGCCCTCTGTCAGATCAGGCTCTGTATTCTTCCTGTTTCTTATTTTGCTCCTTTCTTCCCCACTTTAAGAAAGGGCAGAGAACAGAGCTCATGTGGAGAGACTGAGAGCAAGCAGAGGGAGAGTGCCAGGGGCCCAAAGCCTCACAGCATCTCCTGTTGCCCTACAGAAACCACAGCAGCAGCAGGAGCAGAGGCCAGGACTGGCTTAGAAGGGAAGGACAGTTCCTAGAAGCAGCTAGTCCATAATGAGACGCGCTCAAGTAGTCCGTAATCACGTACGAAAAGTCACCATACTCATTGCCAAAGGCCCACTTTTCCTATGAGATGTTGCACGGGTTGATTTCCCAGGCTCTAAGCACTAACATGAAAGCTCTTTGTTAGCTCTCTCTTTGCACAGAACAGAAATCTGACTTTTACGGTTTCAGAGGAGTAAGAGATTTGCTTCACGTTCTGTTTATATCAGTGGCCCAGTCCTTCCTAGAAAAAACAATACTCTAAGGGAAGAATGTTGAAAGAAAAACACTCCTGCAACATCACAAACCCCATCTGCAACCTATATCACGCTTTAATATCTCACAACAGGAGGTAACAGGCATTTAACATCAGAGATCCATAGGAATGGGCAGGCGTGAACAGTCTGAAAAATAAATATGAAAGTGGCTGCTCAAGGCTTAAGACTCTCAGAACGACACCTATGGAGAAAAAAAGTAGTTTGTCATTGGGTTCTGGATTTGCCTTGCTGTTTTCTGATCTGACTAGACACTCTGCTGGGTACTGAGTACATGCTAAGGTCAGTTAAGGATACTGTGTCACTCTTAAGCCTTTATAGCTCTTCTAGCTTAGGGAGATCAGCCCAGGGCTAACAGCAAAAGAACAGAGCTCCAGATTTGTGAAAGTTGTCAATATAAGCACAGTAGTTTCAATGTCAGCGTATCAGATAGGTCAGGGCAGTCTGGCCCAACAGCTAGCTAGTCAAATAACAAGGGTTAACAAAAAGGCACACAGCAGTGAGAGTCACCTAGAGTGCAAAGGCGTAGCAATTTATAAACTAGAAATCAACTGCAGCTTTAAACTTTCTAAAATTAGGTGTTCGCCACTACCTTAACAGTGCTGCACCATAGGAGGAAACACCTGGTCCTTTCTGATATCACAGAATCAGAAATTGGACTGGAAGAAGACTCAAGGATTTAAGTCATCTGCTACAAGGCTTTAAGAAAAGGATGTGGTGCACAGGCTGGGCTGGCTGTATGAGGCATTAGCAGTGCTAGGCTGGCTAGCTCCTTACACAGTGCGGCAGGGGATACAGGACTTTCCAGAGCTACATCCAGCAGTGATACAGCTGTATCTACTGCAGGAAAGCACTATGCCACCACAGCGCTCAGGGCTGCAGCACAGCCACCCTCTTCCCAGAACCAAGGTGAGATCTTTACACAGGACTGCATCTTCCTACATAGATGCCTCAGATCCTTCGCATGCTCTTTAGTACCACATTGTCTTTTATCTCCAGAGGAGAAAAAGGGCCAGAAAAACATCATGCACTGTCTCCTGAAAGCTGCACGAAAGTACATAATAGCTGACTTTGAAGGGTGTGTTGGCATGTGAAACTGCTGTAAGTCCTCCTTTATTTTGCTATACCCAGAGCAAATGCCCTGCCTCTGAAGAAAAGTCCTCCACCTATCCCATTCCAGGTACATCAGATCAGTTCCTTTCCCTTACCTGAACATAATCCAAAACCATGCCTGCCAAGACCATGCCAAGCCCTGCTAGGAGATATGGCAGGAGCACTTGCAGGCAAATTGAGACGGCTGACTCTTCCCGCGACCTTGCCATGGCCACTTTCTCCTCAGACAACCGCTTCTGCTGTGCAGACAGAGAGACATCCTCTGCCTCATGGCTGCCAAGTCGGCTCTCTCGGTGTTTACCCTTGCTCTTTGCTTTGTGCCTGGATCGCTCTCCATTCCTAGTCCTTCCCTCTTTCTTCCTCTGCCGAACTTCCTCACCTTTCATAGTGACTTTCTTGAATCACAAAGTTTTTCTGAAAAACAAAATCAGAAACAATGAGATAACAAAAGAAGGCATCAGATGGGTCGAAGACAGGAAGCCCTTCAGTATTTTGTCCGCTGCACTAACCTGGAGGCAAACCACCACACGTTCACTAAACCCTAGATGCTCTGCTGATCCAAATAATACTACTCAGTTCACCTTCGACTTTGTATAGTGTCAAATCAATCTCCCTTTCTGCAACTATCTCTCTCTTCCCTGGCCTATGCTCCCGCTGGAGTGC